GGCGTTCTTGTTGTCAGTTTTTGTCCAGATTGCCTGAGTGAATGTCTGGAGGTGTAGGCACCTCGGAATGTGGGTGTTAAGCTAGCACTAAGTTCCTCCCCCATCCACCTTTATTCTTTTCTTCACAATAAGGCTTTCAAATAAGTCATGGTTGTACGGCAGTGAAGCACCGGTGTTGAACACTGATGTCATGCTGTCGATGATGATGGTCATTGAGGCTTCTACCCGGTTGAAATCCTGCTGACTCTAAAGGGTCAAGGTTTCACGTGTCACCGTAAGAAGACGAAGAATCAGTGACGCCAGAAGCCTTGTCAAAACCGGAGTCAAACGAACTAATTGGGCCTCTGCATCGTTTAATCAACCTACCAGTGCGCTCATGTCACTAGCAAACATAACGATGTCTGAACTTGTAGGCCGTTGTAAAATAGCACCTAGTGTCATAAATTTTGCTGGACGAATGAGCCCGGATAGACCGCGATAGAAGGTATCCTTTTCGCCTCAGAACTGCAGTCCGTCGGGGCATAATCGTTTAATCAACCTACCAGTGCGCTCATGTCACTAGCAAACATAACGATGTCTGAACTTGTAGGCCGTTGTAAAATAGCACCTAGTGTCATAAGAACTCTCTGACAGATTCAAGGTTACAGTCAGTTGGAGGGGGGTAAACAGACACAATAAACAGGGTATGATGGACTTCACCTTCTCGAGATTCTCTCACAGAAATTACCAAACGAACCGCGCAGAGGCGACTATCAACGGGCACCCAATCTAGGAGACGCTTCAGCTTGGTACAACACCCATGTCGGTATATCGAGCTGCAGCGGCCAGTGTTCGGGGTAAATTCTGCCCCAGCCATATTTCAGCAATGTACGCCATGTCAAACGGTTCATCAGGAGTTGCATCATTCTCATCATCGTCAACATCATTCTCATAGGTCCTAGTCAAGAACTCCTACGTCATTTGCATTATGTACTCGAACAAATTCAACGATTTGGTTTTCGTCTGAACGCAGAACGTGCATTTTTTTTCTGACATTCATCAAATACTTTGGATTCAGTTTTGACGGAAATGGTCGTCACCCAGACCCAGAAAATACTGCTGCCATACAACAAATGCCAGCACCTACGGATTTGATAATATTGATACGCCATCGCTGTTCATTTTGCCAGACATGGAGCGTGTCCGTGAACCAATAAATAGTTTCTTTTAAAGAGGTACCTCGTAACTGGTCACATGAGTTCCAGCCTACTCTGGACAAAGTGCAGACCTGCTACTCGCAAATTACAATCCAGTCCGGGTATTACTGTGATTTCAGACGCATGTAACTACGGTATTGGAGCTGTCATTTTTAATGTTCACTGACGGAAACGAAAAAGAAATTGCACACGCAGCTAGATCCTTAACAATTACACAGCAAGGTCATAAAAGAAGCTTCAGCTATAATCTTCGCCATTAAGAAGTCCCAAAAAATCCTGTATGGACGCCACTTAACGTTCGTCACTGGCCATACAACGCCTCTCGGTGTTTTCGAATCGAAGAAAGACAACTCTGTTTACACAGCAAACCGTTTGCAACGTTGGTTACAGTGCTTCTGGGCTACGACTTCTCCACCAAATACCCGTCCAGTGAGGCTATTGTCCAAGCTGGTGCACTACTGAGATACATGGATTCTCAACGTCAACAACCCGAAGATGCTCTTGTTACCGCAGTACCGATGGAACCGGAAGTTAACAAGATGCTTGCTACTACGGTTACTTCTACCACGGTTCACGACGCCGCTGCTCGTGACCCGCTACACTGATGTTATGCTGTCTATGATGATGATATGCCTCTCAGTGACTGATCAACCTGGGAAATACCAAAGTGTACTGGTGGGTGCATGACGTTCGAAATCGTCCATAACTGGATTGCCACCATCAAGGCTTTACCACCTTGTTTTGAAAGTACAAGATGCGGAGCTTCTAGACCAGGTGCCTTGTGGAGTAGGACTGAAATTTCGGGCTATATTTCTGTTTCTTACGGTGGGCTGTTATCGATATTCCATTCAGATTTGGCGGGCACTTACGAAAATCGTGTTGAAGGTCAGCTCCTCGCTCAAGGAGGTGGCTATGAGGATGGATTACCGTTCCAACCTCGCGAATTTTGCTGTCATCTGTCCTGCTTTGGCCAGCTGATCGAATCAACTGAAACAAGGAGAAACTGTTCTTTGTAGCGAAAGCCTTCTCCATCTCTTCTGCATTCGAAACCCGTCATTCTTCAGACCCTCGATCATCCCGCGTTTGATGGACCTGTGTGGGACATGCTATCCGCTGGTATCATCATCATCAGTGACAGCAACATCAGTGTTGGCACAGATGCTTCACTGCCGTATGACTAGTCTGGCAGCATAATATTTGCTAGTCTCCATGGTAGCTAGTGTTCATTTGGTTGAGTCAGTAGGGAGGGAAGAGTTTGTCATTAATTCACCAATCTTCATCATCAGTGAGACTGTGCATACCTAGTCAATTTTCAATCACAGCCCGATATTGTTGGGCCACTGAAGCTAATTGACAAAGTCATCTTCAAGGGAAGCAGAGTGACAACTGAGACAATACGGGAGTCAAGTCACGTACTCCGGATGAAATAGCAACCTTCATAGGTGACTGACAGTCACGATCTACTTGAGTCCATGACTGGTTTGCGGCTGGGGGGCTCCAAGTGGCTCGCCTGTTCTGAAAGTACGTACTAACCATGAACAAACGATGAAAACGGGTGAAATCGTCCTCCATTATCCACACGCTGAGCGACGACAGCGAATCTACCACCCAAGTGTGTCTCACTCGAGCATAATTGTCTAAATTGTGCGTTCCTGTCGTCCACCAGCATGGTGATACCTATTCTTCTTGTTGACCAAATCGGTCGTGACAGACCGCCTCGATTTTCACTCTTCCCAACTGCAGTCTGTTGAAGCGTAGGCCAACATGACAAACGGAACCTGCTTACTGCTTAATTGAACCAGATAATGCATAAATTTGGTCCATTAGAACGTTATCAAAAAATCGTTCAGCAGTAGCACCCATGCCACACGGAGGTACGAGGGCTGGGATACTGACAGGTTGTCCAAGCCTAGACAGGGAAAGTCGAGAGGCAGAGGTCGGGTTCGAACCACGAACATTCCGGTTACTAAGTTCGCGCTCTAACCACTTGGGCCATCTCGCCCCCTGAACGTTTTCAGCCCTAAGGCCGGTAGTCACCAAACTGTCTGTCTTCATTCCCTTAGAGCATGTAAAACTCTGTCCACCTCTAGTTCCTCGGAAACGCCAGCGTCATATGTGTCGTGACCTCGTCCCAATTATAGCAATGCACTTTGGAACTGCCGCTTACTATGTATCGCAAGGCAAGGTGTTTTCGATTCGAGGACCCAAGGCTCTTAAATACTAAACCGGAAGTTTGACCATTGGAAATCTGTATCGGACGTGAGGGAATCGGCGGCAGTCCCGCGAGGCACGCCCGAGGTTTTTCTCTTGCTCCGTACTATCCATTGGAACACCGATACACCTTGTCTAACTTTGACAGAAACCCACGTACTCCTCCAGATTGAGTGAGTGGCCCGACGGAAATAAACCACTATATTGTGTCTACATTAGCAATCCAATGACGCAATCAAGCTGTATAGTATAACAAAACAAGGTTACACAGCTTAGAAAGACTGATGCCGGATGCGGATGAATTGCACCAGCGATGTCGAGGACAGGGACGAGGCCTAACTTATGACTGATGCCACAAACAAGACTCTCATATTCTGCTAGTAAAAATTTCAGACTACAGTTCGTGTTTGACGATCTTTATTCTCCATGAAGAATAAATACATCAAAATTTGGCAAACGCTTTTTTGTACTGCGAACCAGGAGCCTTGAGAACTTTGATAACGTTGAAGCTCACTGTTTTGCTGAGAGGCCGACATTCACCAACAGTCACTGTATCACCTACGCTGACATCACTGTATAAATAAACAATTTAGGTAGATGCTCAACATACCGGAAGCAGGGAGAGAGATGTACGGACATGTTCTTGTGCCGCTTTTCGTACCTGTTGTACTTCTTGACATACTTCATGTAATCACGCCGAATGACGATAGTCCTGTTCATCTTCATTTTTCTAACCACACCAGTCAGGATACGACCTCGGATTCTGACATTGCCAGTAAATGGACATTTCTTGTCAATGTAGGTGCCGAAAATGGCCTCTTTCGGCGTTTTGTATCCCAGGCCGATGCTCTTATAGTACCGACCACCCTTCTTACCCTTGACTTCCTGTTTTTGAAAAGCGTTTTCTTTCTAAATACGATAAATCCCCAGAAATGTGGACGAACCTGTTCCGCCATGCTCGGCACTCGTGAAACCTCAAATACAGTGACCTTGGCAAAGAATTTAGCGTAGTAAAATACAACTTATCTTCATTCAGTTCAAATCTCAAAAAATGAAAACAATATGAATGATCTATGCTTTTGAAATTTTTAGAATTCCATTTTCTTTTAGGGGAAAGTTCATGCTCTATATTTGATGTAGATTGCATTTACGAGTAAGCGCTCCTTGAGCGCGCGTGCACTTCCCGTACAGCATCACCCGTATTCGACGTAAAAATCTGCAGTGGTGTATTCACCCATTGGTTACAAATAGCCGAACGATAGGTATTTATGCAGAATTTTTACTGGCTTCAGGTGTCTGGTGATTAATACTGGACGCTATTGTTCAATAAATTTAAATAATCTTCCCAATGGGTTGTGCATGGAGTGATCCCGACAAAGTCCAACAAGACACCAGTAAAGCAATTGAGAAACAGATTCGTCAGGATGCTGAAAAGGCAATGAAACAAGTTAAACTGCTACTGCTTGGGGCAGGCGAATGTGGAAAGTCAACCGTTCTAAAGCAGATGAAGATTATTCACGGACAAGGCTATCAGGAATCCGAAAGAAAAGAATACGTGTGCATCATTTTCGCCAACATTGTGCAATCGATGATTAAAATTCTCAGAGCGATGGAGTCTTTGGAAATTGCTCCTGATTCTTTCGATCCAGAGGTCGAACTTAAAACTTTAAATGGATTTCTTGCCAATGTTGAGGACGGTCATTTTCCTGACGACTTGGCTAATGTGCTGCGCAGACTCTGGTCATGTAACAGTGTCCAACAATGCTTTGCCCGATCCAAAGAGTACCAACTCAATGATTCTGCGGAGTATTATATGAAATCATTGGATCGTATAGCTGCACCTGGGTACACACCAACTGAGCAGGACGTCCTTCGGTCACGCGTAAAAACGACGGGTATAGTGGAATCAGGTTTCCGGTATAAAGATTTGGAGTTTAAAGTCTTTGATGTCGGTAAGGACATGCCCACACAGAAAATTATGACCGCTTTATTCATATATCGTTCATCTGTATGATTCTTTCAGGGGCCTAACCGTTGTGGTGTCTGAAATGAGCACATGGGTTCAGATTATCTCAGGGGTCCAAAGTCTAGATAGAGGCCGTCGGAGTGTTCGAGTTTTTTCGAACAAGGAGACTCTCGGTCATTGAGATTTTGAATTAACCACCGAGCCGCCAGAAATTCCTATCCACTTGGTGAAGAAAATCACAATATTATTTGACTTCAAAATTTGGCTCGGTTTTTTGTTTGTCCCCGGAGCAGTGATCTATTTGTTTCACAAAAATCCAAAACCTCCACTGTGATAGTGAAAGCTGATGCCTGAGTAAAGCCTTTCTTTCGTCCCATTTGCTATATACTCAAGCGCATATTGTAGTCTGTTCTTTTAAGAGCTGGACTCTATCATTTTCAAAAGTTTTCTTGATAATGCCAGCAAACTTCGGTCTCTCTAGTAGCCCTTTCTTAGAAGCAGAAATAAACAGAGGGAGGTTTTACTGTTGTTACTGTTGTTACTGTTGTCATGCTACATTACATAGTATCTGCTTTCATACAGTTCGCACATTAAGGTCCACGATTATTGCTCACACATGCACCATTGAATTAGGTACCAATTTATGGGTTTTGACATATTGACTCATGAATTCGGTTTGTGGTGGATGTACGCCTTATGGGTTTTGACACATTGACCTATCATGAATTCGGTTTGTGGTGGATGTACGCACCCCACTGGATGAAAAATACCACTCGGGAAAAAATATGCAAACGAGAGGAGCCAAATAACTGATGCATAGGACGAGATTGTTTCAACAGATACAAACAAAACAAGAAGGCCGATTTAAAATCTTTGGCAAACAACTAGATGCACGGAGCTGGCCCTCAGCGAATCGCTTATCTGCTTATCCTTAGATGCCGATACATATGGAAGTCTATATTGATGACCTTGTTTTGAACCACAATCATTTAAATCCTCTGAATCACTGGCTTTCGCTGAATTTAACAAATTCCCTTCGTTTGTCTATCTAGCAACCAATTTTACGTGCATCAAGTTTTAAATGATCTAATCTTCTGATCATCACTCACGTACAGTAATTAGTTGATATACAGAGTGACTTCTTTTACAGAATAAAATCGCCAAAAAATGTGAACCTCCCCCAACATCCAGCAAGCAATATATATTCCCTCTTAGAACTGTAATAGATTTTTAAGTTATAAATGACTACTGAAGTCAGTTGAAAACAAACAAGCAAACTCGGTACCAAGAAAATGGTTTCAATAAACTATGGTGTATCAAACAGGCAAACAGTTTGAAGCACACAAGGAGACGAAACATATTTTCACGAAGGATGCACTTTGTGCGGTTTCAACTGCCGCAATGTTTGTCATTTTGTGGAGAAGTTTACAAGACAAAAATAGTTATGAAGTTGATGGCCGCCTTTAACTCTTTCGATCTCTTTACTACCATATATGAGTCAGACATATCACTAGTCGAAGTGAGGTTTCTTTGGGTAAAGTGGATTCTGAATTTGTGTAATTTTCTGACCGGCCTGAGCCGTAACGAATTAACTATAGACGTAATACACCATTCGTAAGGTTGCTTAAAAATATCATTAACGAGAGAGCCAGCTGGGTTCCAGGTGAGTTTGTCGAAACACCAAATCTGTTTGTAAATGAGTGTATTTCGCTAATTTCGTGCAATCCAGTCTCAAGAAAAACATAAGTTTGACGGAAAATCGGAGACTGCATCTACCTGATTCCTCCCAAGAAAGGCGAAATCGATTGTGGCTTGTCGAAGAATTTTCAACAACCTTATGAGTAGTGTATTCCGTATACGCATGTATCATGTATCTCCGTATGTCGAACATTGTAACAGCTGAAACATGAGTCGGCCTGGTGCAGCACATTCGGTTGCCTAGAAACAGCATAAATGAGAGATCCAGCTCGGGTCCAGTTGAATCTCTCGCAAAGCCACTTTTGTTTGCAAACGAGAGTAATTCGCAAACCTAACTAGAGTATTGAAGCGAAGAGAATTCAGTTTAAAAAAGTTGGAAAATAGCGGTCGCTCTGTTGGTGTTCCCCTGACTCGTTTTTTCTGATATTATTGTTCACATGTGATCATGTGATCACATTTGAAGTGTTAGGCGTCCTGTCAAGGCCAAATCAGGGTGCACCGGAGACCATGTAGCAAACTGCATACAATTTGGTCTCAAGAAGGACGTAAGGTTGGCGTAAACTCGCGGACTGCGTCTTCCTGATGAGCCACACGAGAGGCAAAATCAGTCGTTAGCTGTCGAATAGTTTTCAACAATCTTTTGAGCGGTTTCTCCCAAGGAAATATATTGGAATATCTTGAATGTGGTACCATCTAAAGCACAATGTGGTCTTCATGCAGTTGAGAACATATCATGTACAAGGGGTTCAGCTGGGATTTAAAGAGTCTTCTGTTTAAACCTGCGCCAGTGTGGAGATTAACTTGGCTTTACTGCGAACACAAGGCAATGCCTCTGAAATCTGATGGAAAGGTCATAATTCTATCAGAGTACGACAGCTGTAGATTGCGCTGACAGTCTGGAAAACAGTTTGAAAGATCCTGATTCAGTCCACCTTATTTGGCAAAAAATCGACCTCAATCCCATGATCTGAGGTGTTTTGTGTAAAGTGTATCACATTCACTAAAAATTCTATGCAGCGCCCCTACTTATAGGTTGTTTTGGGTAAGTTTTCAGCTTAATTAGAAATGACTGACTAAGTTTGTCACATGTCACAATGAGACACTTAAATAAAATACAAAACTGCAGAAGAGATCCAAATGCTTATCAATTTTTAGGCCTCTACTAACCAACAAGAGCCACTCCTTTTCAACGATTAGGAAAAAATGGGAGAAAGATTGATATCCCTTGTTTAGAAAAGTTGGCCGCTTGTCATTTGAGTACTATAATTATCTCTGATTTTTTGCCGACCACATTTGTAAGAAATCCCCGTCTAAGCAACACTTCCAAGAAACAGTTCTAACAGACCTAAGTTTTCGCCATCAGACTATATTCTTTCTTCATTAAAAGAAACCGCGATATTAGAAACACCTTGAAGAATGAAGTTGTTTTGTTCTTAATTCTTTGTCTCTCTCTACAGTAGGTTAGTCTTCCTGACAGTTATGTAGTAGTATGGTCGGAGGGAGTTCTACTTGCTCAAGATGAACCCAGTCCGAGCTGACAACTACTCACTACAGTCACTGGATGTGTGAGGTTACAGCCGACGTCACTGGCTGGCTGCTTTCAACCCTTCTGGGTGATGAGTTCTATGTATTTCAGCGAACCGAGGCGATATCGGTTATTTGTTCACCCCTTTTTTGACAATAAATTAAGCAACGTCTGTTTTCTGTATTCGTGTGTCATTTGGTTAAAAGTGGGTTAATTAAAAATTAAAGATGTTTAAGCTGCGGTAGTGAAGCATCGGTGTTGAACACTGATGTCATGCTGTCGATAATGATGATGATGATGATGATGATGATGATGATGATGATGATGATGATGATGATGATGATGATGATGTTTAAGCCGCTGAAGGTTATCCTGACTTGTCTGAGGGTGACTGTGAGGTGAAGGAAGGTGCCCATAAAAATTCTTACAGCCATTCAGAAAGAGATAAGGTATTCCTAAGGATGCTGTTGAGGGTAGTTTTCCTGGCAAAACTGGATCATTCTGGTTGAAAGCTGCCCACGCAAGTGATGGTAATATCAAGTGAGACCTAAGAAATCGTAAATTCACAAAATACAATCGTTTGCATACCATTTTGGTTTTGACGAGAGACTCGCCAAAAACCCAGCCGAATTCTTGTTTTTTGGTTCGAATAGAGCATAAAGCTGACGGAATCTCGGGGACTGCAGCCACCTTATTAGCCGCAAGCATGGCAAAACCGATCGCGGGTTGTCGGAGTCTTTTCAGTAACCTTATGAGTAGTGCATTACGTCCACACAAAAGCATGAATCCCCTTTACACATTTAGAGCTGATGTTTAAACAAGAATGTTTTCTTTCAGCTCTGTTCTTTTCATTTCAAAAATTTCAAAATACGCCCAAAAACAGACCGAGTACCGTCACCCCACTTGGTGTCTCTCATAATTCTAGTTAATTTGATAACTTAACTCATCATATGCTCCAATGGTCACACTATTTGTGCGCTTTGGTTTCAACCAAGAGAGGAGAAGTGGAGAATGAGTTCAAGGTGAAAGTGTTATTTCACTGGATATGTGAAACTTCCTTCCGAGAAGTCGTCGCTTGAGGAGCCAGTCAATGCGTGACCACACAATGTCGTTTCCGTCATTGAAAGATGAATGGCGCTACATCTTGTCCAAGTGAGAGCTACTCACACTGACGCTTAGTCACTAGTGGCCAAACGCCAAAGTTTTCAAGCACTGGTATGAAGGTCTTGGGTTTTAAACCCGCTACTGAATTTTAATGAGATACACATTGCTGATTATTCTCAATAAGGATGAAAAGGCGATACAGTGTTTCTCGACTTTTCAGCTTAGATTGGCCCCACTTCCAGGGTAATATCTCTATTGAAACATCTGTCGACTATTCTGAGAGAGCCAGAAAGCATTGGAGAGGAACATACGAGACCGACAATTTGCTGTATTAACCCATACCTCTCTTCTGATTTGAGAATCTTTCCCGGTTGTTGGTCTGTTCACCGAGCTTGGCAGGCGCCACTACGCACGTTTAGATTCAGATGCATAGCAGTTCTTGTTGAGATGTAATGTACTAAAGTGTGCCGAGTCCCCCAACCCTTATGTATGCGGCCATAATTAATCCATTGAGATACCCAAGGATTCTGCGAACTAGCGAATTAGTCCCTTGGTCTGCATACTTGTAGTTCGTTAGGAAAACGCTAACCAATCGTCCGTAACACCGACTTCTCTTTTTTTAGCGCGCCAATGTTCTAGCATTTGTAGATTTTTGCACAATAATAACATTTTTCCAATTCACTAGGTCATTTTCAGGAGATTTGGAGTGGCTTTTGATTAG